AACGTGTGTGACGTTCTACTCGAAGCAACGAGACAACACCTGGATGGAAAAGAGAGGAAAGGAATGAACTTTCGCTTTTCGTTTTGAACGAACGAGTAATCAAGAAACGAGTCATTAAACGGGGAAACGGTTCCAGGCCAATAACACCGGGGGGATGATTCGCTGTATCGTCGCGCGGAGGTGTTAATGCACAGTCAACAAATCATTTTGTTCGTTTTGGGAAAATCTGTTGATGCTACGCCACGGGAATGCGGAATGGGTCATTGTTGCCGGCTCGGCCGCGGAAAGAGAAATGACCGCGTGCTCCTGTCATCGAATCATCCGGTTCACGGTCGAGATACATGCTGCGTACCTCGATACGCTACCCCACCAACACATACATACTATATATATGTATATATATATATATGTATGTATGTATACATATACATTTGTATATGTGTGTATATATTCGTACGTGTCTGTATATGTTCCTTTTTACATATGACACGCGTGTACATGCATTCCGCGCTTTTGCCCGACAATAAAACAGCATCGCGGTGAAATGGATACCGTAAAACCAGTGTTAGACATCATCGACTCGTAAAATTCGATCGATCGACGCTCTTAGATCGCCAATCTATCTATCAAACACGGACTTCGTCCTTGAGTCAGAACGTTAGTATTAAACTGAGAGGACCTGCTCTCACCTGAATCGCGTTATTTCCGCTTTCTGTCGACGAGAATATTCTTCGAAATATTTTAAATCCTCAAACTTTCAACCTCCCTTCCTCTGCAACAGTTCGATTCGTTCAATGAAATCCTCGTAGGCGTTAAGAAATCAATCTACGCGAGCAGAATGAAACTTGTTGGAGAAAAGAAAAGGGAAAAAATGGCCAAGGCGAGGGGAAATAAATCGGCGTGTGCCCGTTCGTTATGAGTTGTTCCTCGGTTGTCGCGCGGCCGAACGATGAGAGTTGAACTTCGAATTTCGCTAATTACAAATCCTGATACAGCGTGCCAGGTGGTGGGCGGTCGGTGTGTGGGTGTGCGTCGCGTTTGCACGCGCGCGGCAAAACGCGATACGTCGAAGGAGGAAGTCGATAGGCGACTTCTTTCGCGACACGATTAAAACCGGCGTGTTGGCCTGGCCTCAGCTAACGGTGCTCCCCTCCCCATTCTAATCAACATTCCGCGTATTTATTAGACGCGAATCGGCAATTAATCAGCCGCGTTCAATTAGCGAATTACCAATTAGCACGCACGCGGACACCGCTCTTCGAAACGACGATCTTGACGAGAATTCTCTCAGATTTTTCTTGTTCTCTTCTTCTGAGGAAATGAAGCTTCCGAGGTTCTCAGATTGCCGATCGAGCATACTAAAGGCTACAATAAAGTATTCGTTCGTGTCGGGGAATTTTCAGAAGTGATTGCCATTTTGTGGAAGTTCGGAATTCATTCTGAATTTGATTCGGATGGCACGTGTCAAGTTGAAATTCAAAAGGTACGACTCACCTCTCTTCAGCCTCCTTCATCCACCTCTCGAGGACCGGTTTTATCTTTTGCGCGCTCTTTGGCGTGATGTCCAACTTTTCGAATCTAGAGGCAACAATAAGTCATGATTCTCGTTCTCTCTCGTCTGCTTACGCGTGTAATGGATGAAAACTCGTGTGTAAGAAGAAAGGAATCGCACTTCACACGCCAAAGACGTAAAGACAGATATCGAGCAGCCATATTAGAATTTCAGGGGAGCAATTGTAATTTATTCACTTTTATCAATGACAGGGGATCCAATTGTAAATCGAGGAAAACGCCCGATCGTAAAAGATTTTGAAAAAAAAAGCGAGACTCGCGAGACTCGCGAGACTGACTGAAAAACTGAAGTCGTTCTGAATAATTCTTTTCGTCTTTGTTCGACTAAAGGAGCACTAAAAGGCATGCATTGACTCAAAAACAGGACATTGACAATGCGTGCATGCTTAAAGGTTTTTGGTGATGCCAGTGTATGATGTTGCCAACGCGCTTCGTGAGAGCTGAGTGTTCATCTGCGACTCTGGCGCAAAACCAACTTCGTCGAGTTAAGTGGACAATCAATTTAGAAGACGAGTGGTCAAAAAAGATGAAAAAAAAAAAGTTAAAAAAAAAAGAACAGTGGACGAAGACAAAGATCGTCCAAAGGAGGAACACACTCTCGTCGACGGACGTCGATCTCCGCGATTTCTTGAAACTTGCGTTGTTCTCGCGCGTTGGCGACATCATGCCCAAGTTTGCCAATGCCCTGGCTCGAAGAAATCGTTAACTTTCAGAAGTGCTCCTTTCGCATCTCATCTTTACTTTTGTTATTGGTTCTCTTTAGTTCTTTCTTTCTTTTTCTTTTTTTTTTTTTTTT